GAAAATGCAGAGCCCCAGGCAGAGAGCGAGCGAGCGGCTGTAGACAGGAGGAATTCAAGGGTCAGGGGATACTCAGAGTGAAAACCAGGTTCCCATGGCTGCAGGATTCACCTGAGGGATGTAACACGTTGTGCAAAGGAGTCCCCCGGCTCCAGGCAGACGTTGCACTGCGCTGACATACCCAGCAAGATCACACATATAACGGAACAGATGTGTGAGCATGTCTCATCCCTGAGACTGTTCCTCCCAAAGCAAAGTGCTGCTGAAATCTGGGGTGCTCTGTGCCTTCTTGAGCCAAGCCAGCAGTCAATCCGCACGTGTGGGTGCAGGTGGCAGGGCAGTCCCCACTCCATCGTCACCATGACTTTCCAGACTACCAGTCTCTTGTCACTTAGTGAAGAGTTAGAAGATGATTATTTCATCTGTCCTTGCTTCTGCTGCAGTGCCTGATCACAGTCTCATATTTAAAACCATTCCCATTTTCCTTCCTCTTGGCTTGATATTTGCTCAGTCTGGGGTGACATCTGCCTTTAAGCAGCACCCTCTCAGAGCTGGCTGCCTTTCCTCCCAACGAACTATCAGGATTCAAAAAAAATCAGGATGACAGGAGAAGTGGAGAGAAGGGGAAAAATAAAAAAGCTTTCACTTGAAATTTTGAAATATTTAAAGAAAAAAACCCTTGCACAGGCAATCAGAGCACCGGCAGCGTGTTACTGACTTGCAGGGGACTGTCCGGATGCAGAATATACAGCTCTAGAGAATTTAAAGGCCACTAAGTCACAAGAAACTCGCAGAGAAAATTTCAGTCACCGGTGTTCCAGGTTTACCTTGTTTGTACAAATTCAGGGAAACCCAAGTCCATGTACCGAGATCCCTAGCGAAGCATCACTTTAACTGTGGAAAAATATTTGAACGTTCAGCGTGAAGTGAGACATCACAGCAAGGAAATATTTCCAGTAGGAGAAGCCGTTAACTCCTTCCGCGGCTGTGTGGATGGCACTGTGCAGTGAGCCATGTCTGTTGCTAATGTTGCCTGTCGGGTTTTGGGGATTTAAAAAGGTTATTCATCTGTGAGGGAAGTGGGAGTCACCCCTTCCCATGGGCTGTCAGCAGCGAGCCCTTGCTGCCTGCACCCACCGCTGGCCTTACTGGCTCCTTGCAGAGATCGTTCAGGGGGTTCATGCCAGATGGACAAACCTAAGAGAGGACCTTGGATTCCCAGTTCCTAAAGGAACAAGCAGCAGTTTGGGTAGGTACGTGTGATGTGTTTCTGGGCTCTGCAATCCACAGCTGTGATTTCGGTTTCATTGCAAACTCCTGCCCGATGCATGGCGCAGCAAGGCGCGGGGGGCTTGCCTCGGTGGTGACAAGCCAGTTTCTTAAATGACTGATGAGTGCTAAAGAGCCAGAAACATTTTAAAGAAACTAATTGGAGATGGTGACTTAGATTGTAATGAATGCGATGTACAAAATCTCACTGGTTTTCAGTGTATCTGCATCTCTAAGCCTTGATGTCCACTTGTGTAGCGCCACGTACCCTGGGGAGGCACTGCTGGGTGGCAGAGAGGAGCTGCACCTTGGGACTGCCACCCCAGGCATCTCTGTCTCGGTGCCCTGCTTCAGATCTGTGTGTCTGCAGCTGATTGCAAACAGAGGGTCACCCACCCAACTGTCCTGTGCTGAAGTTTTAGGGGATCAGAGGTAAATGCTTCCATCTATCTCTGGAGTGGGAAAATAAAAGATAGAATAGTCATGGTCAGTGTGTATCCATACCCATCGCCCAGACTTCTTTCTTCTCTTTGCTTAGTTTTTATACCCCGTATACTCCATTAAAACCCCCACTGACAACACTGTCTCTATGTGCCTTCAGGTTTGTCTTTGGGGAGATTACAAACTGGCCATGAAATATCACGTGCGTTCATGTATAAATGTAAATCACTTCATTACTATTCCACTCAATTAATGTAAAAGCATAAAATGATTTAGCCAAGAAAAGTGACTGACATAGCCCTGAAAATATATATTTAATTTTTATAGCAATTACTTGATAATCTCATTCTTAAAGTGCATAAAGATGCTTACGTGTAAGAAGATGAGATCTTGCCTTTGCATCTGGAGCCCTGTGAATAATCACACTGAGCAGAAAGGCAGTTGGTTCTTTGCATATGTTGTGGACTGAGCGAGTGAAGTACACTCCAAGTCTGCTCTTCGGAGATGTCTTTGATTGAACATGTTTTATTTCCTCCTCTTGGTCCAGCTTTCTAGGAAATAGATGGGAAAAGAATAAAGAGCCATCTGTAAAAACACAGATTGAGTCCTTTGCAGTTGAAAAATGAAATTATGAATGACCTGAATAATTCTTTGCGTTTCAAAGAGCTGTTTCAGCCTGCTTTTGTCATCTCCTTTTGGAAACACAAGCCGTGGTGACCTTGCTGTACATGCTGCTGCCTCGCAGAGGGCTCCGCACATCCCTTGCCAGAAGCAAGCTTGCAGGGCCATACACCATTGCAAGAAGCGTGTAATTGTTTCAAAGCTTCATTCTGCAGAAAATCTGGGGTGGGACCTTGTTCAAACCAAAAAAAAGAGCTAAAAGAAGGCATTTGGTGCCTGCAGCAACCTGCTGTTGGCCATTTTCCTGGACTGGGGAGTCTCACTGGGATGGTGCTTGAATTCTTAGGTCAGTTGTGACTGTGAAAGGAAATTCTCTGAGCTGTTTGCCCCTCCTGGGGTAAGGAAATCTCCATCTGCTGCTGTGTAGCTGTGCATGAAACCTGTTTTCAGGACTGGGGCCCAAGCTATAAACCTGGGGAGGTTTGTAGGCTTTGGCATTTGAGGAGTGGCTCCCTTGTAACTTGTAAATATAGAAGAGGGAGGTTTTGTCAAATGGAAAGGTTTTGCAGCATGAGGATTAGCAGATGTAGATGCTTCTGGAGCGGCACTGCAAGCCTTGCATGGAAGCTGGTTATGGGGCCAGCAGCTGTGGTTCAGCGAGGGAGCACAAGCACGGAGGGGATGCCAGGTAACCTCTGTCCGGGCCCGAGCTGGGATTTGGCATCTTTTCAAGTCTAACAGGCCAGGGCTGTCGTGCCGAGCTCAGACCAGCCTGGCTGGGAGGGAGAGCAGGGCACGGAGAGCACAGGGGACATGTTTTACAGCACTGTGGGTGCTGCTGAAGGCACTGGCAGGCGTGGGGCAGGCGGAATGCAGCCCTTTTCCAAGCCCGTGAGCAGCTTCAGCAGGGACGTTTGGCTGGGGGAGGTAGTGCTGGACGCTGGGGGTGTGAAACTCTGCTCTGCACACTTAAGCGACTGCCCCCTCCAAGGATGGATGTTTTGCAAAAGCTAGTAGCTTGATAGCAAGGAGAAACATTTGAGTTACCATGAAAAGAAAAGGCACATTCACAGTTCTATTCTAAAACATATAATGTATAAAAGAGTTCCAAGTAGACATTTTTGGCAAACTCAGTAATAGCAAGTTTCAACTTGAAAAAGGCAGCAAGAATTTATTTTTTTTTTTTGTTACACATACTTCAGGCTCTTAAAAACTCCCTCCTTGGGTATCCAGCATATTTTAAATCTTGTTTTCTGCTTTCTCCTACACGTTCCTATTATGCCTCCTTCCCAAAGGCACCTGTACGCAGCCCAAAGCATCTCAGCTGAGACATGAGAAAGCAACTTTGCAATTTCGAGTATGGCGTAACCATACGATGATACACACTGAAGAGATCTGTAGACAACCATTTCAAGAGAGCAGCTACAGAAATTACTTTGTTCCAAAGGAAAAAAAAAAAAGAAGAAATCACCCATGCTATGGGGATATTAAATATTCAAATGCAGGATTTGTTTTAGTATGCAGACACTCTGCCTTTAATTACCAAGGAGAAATTCCCCAGATAGACATTAAGCCACAGAACAGCTTAGCTTGAAATTCACTTTTATTTTCAGCATGTCATTATCTTGTAACTCTGTTCCACCCAGAGCTGTGAAAATGTTCAGCCAGGAATCCAAACCCACTTGAAAACAAGAGAGGTTCAAGTTCCAGCCAAAGCTGAAGGTTAGCAAAGATTCCAAATAAAGAGGAAGATGCGAGTTGGCTCTAGTCGTATGTTTTCCTCCTTGCATGGCACAGAGAAGATGGAACAAATGCTCCAAGAGCCTGAATCCGGCCAGGTAGCTTGGTGAGAGCTCCCACTGAAAAAATACCTCGTGTTTCATTACCCTTTCTGTCCTGTCTTCTTGAGAAGCTGTTGGTCTTGAAGGGATTTCTGGCATCAGCCACATCCTCCGGCTGGTGGAGGGGCTGGATGGGTTCTTCCCGAATCCCACTGTGCAATCTTTTCCTTTTGGTTCAGTGTGGTTCTTGCACCCAGACAGACTTTACACTTTTTGGGACTTCCTGCGTAAAAGGACTAATCCCAGCTCCCCAGGACTGGGGACACTTTCCCCAAAGCTCTGGAACACATTGCCCAGAGAAGCTGTGGGTAACCCTGGAAGTGTCTAAGGCCAGGCTGGATGAGGCTTGGAGCAACCTGGTCTAGTGGAAGGTGTCCCTGCCCATGGCAGGGGGTGGGACTGGATAGACTTTAAGGTCTCCCAATCCAAACCATTCTGGGATTCTATGATCTTCTCTCAGGTAGGGGAACTGCTGCAAACCATTCTGGGATTCTATGATCTGCTCTCAGGTAGGGGAACTGCTTGCAGAGAGGGCAGGATTGTATGGATGGGTAGGCTTGTATGGACACCCTGGAAGGGAGCAGAGGATGGAGGAGACGAGACCTGAGAAATAATGTGAAATACTTAGTCCCTTTAGGCCCAGCCTCTCGATGGCACAGTGCTTTGGGGGGTTTCTAACTGTACTCTATAGCCCAAGACATGAGCGAAGAGAGGAGGGACTCGTGCAGACTGCAGTCAGTTCACGCCATGAGTTGTGCAAATGCCTCACTGACATGAGGTCAGTCTCTGCAAGCTCGACAGCAGATTGAGCCCCTGCTGCCGTCCCCTGCTTGAAGAACTTTGCTCCCTTTTATAACTTCCTTCTTTTTTTTAGCAAATTTAAACTCCTACATTTTGTTAGTTTTGGTCAATTTGTCTCTGTTTGCTTCAAATCTGTGCCTGCTGCTACGCGTTTATTTTATTGTTGTTGCCAATGCACTGCTCTCAGAGCTCGATTTACCCTGCAAAGCCTAGTAGTGTGGTGGCATCGAGAGAGAAGTGCTTGTCATTTGTATTCCCCGAAACTCTGGTGTGTCCCTGTCTCTTGTGTCAATCAGAACAGATATGTAGGCTTTGCATCCAGGTAGACAGCATCTCAAGCCTCATGGCTAATAAATCCCATCATAATCCACAGCTCAGCGAGTATCTGGTATTTCTACCAGCTGGAATTTTTAGGAAATGTTTGCAATTGAGCTGTTGCCTTTAGGAGTCGGTTTCTCATTCAGTTACTGCTAGGACATACAATAATTTCTTTTGCTGGAAATCTCCCTTAGAAGAAAAATTACTCTGGGCTAAATGCCTCTGCCTACCCGGAGTCTCTTTGGGTGTTAAGATAGTTGTCAGCTCCTGGGCTTCGTGCACTTCAGGAGAGCCCGTTCGGACAGCGTGAACTCAAAGCTCGGCGGCAGGCAGGGGCCTGCGGAAAACAAACTGCGGCACTGTTAAAAGAGAAGGATGTATCCTTTGGGGAAGCATCCAAGCACAGTTCATCTAATCCCACCTGCGTGAGCAGAGAAAAGGCTCATGTCATCCATCCCTGCGGTGCCAGGGAGAGCTCCTTCCCAAAATGTCAGGTGTTCTTGTAGAAGAACGATGCTTCCCAGGGATCGCTTATTTCTTTGGATAGCCACTCCAAACGCTGTGTCCTTAATGAACAGTTTCTCTTCCTTCCGTGCACACCTTGACTTTGTAAGGGGGAAGGGGAAGCAGCCCCCATGGGAGGTGGGATATCGAGACGCAGCGATGCAGTTAGTGGTATGTTAGACTTTGGCACCTCTACCATCTGTTGTGGGCTGACAGATGGGATGAAATATGACAGCAGAAAGGCTCTTCTGTTTTAGCAAGACACAAGAAAGCTTGAAAACTCACACCTTCCCCCTCCTTTCCCCCTAAACCCACACAACAACAGTGTCACTTGGCCACTTGTTCTGGCTAAGACAAGGAGGGGTTTATGCCTGTGTGTGCTCCTGAGAGTCTCCCGAGTGGTTCAGAGCAGAGCTCTCGGAGGCACTGGGTCCTGGAGAGGACCACCACCCCTTCTCGCCCCTTTTCCCGTAGATGGGAATTAGGAGCAAATGCTTTACCAGGGCAGAGAGGAGCTGAGGAGTCTCGGTGCTTGGCAAGTCTTGCTGTTTGTTTGTGCGCTCGTGGTAATTAGCGGCTGCACGGCTCGTGCATCAGGGACATTTGGCCTTACCTGTAGCTGGTGAGAAAACTCCTCATCTGGTAGTGGAGGATTAGCCAATTTCAGGTTCTCCCTGAGACGCTGCCGTGGTTGGAAATGCTTCCCGTCAGAAACCCACCCCGGCTGTCTGTGGGAGCATCCAGGACATGAGCTGTGGCTCAACTCCTTTCCAGGTGTCTGTATGTTTTAACTGATGCCAATTCATCATCCAGGTGCCATGAACAGCCAGATTTCCAAGGCAGATCAGCATCCTGGGTACCAGCCACGCACTTCTGGGAGTCTGGCCTCAGGGTCAGAGATGGAAATGGCAGCCGAAGGGTTCTGCCCCATTAAACACAGCAAGTGCTCCTAAAAAATTAGCTCTGTAGGTGATGACCATAATCCCAACCTTCCACAAAATAATAAGCTCTTGTTTTTTCTCTCCTCTGACTCAAGCTTTTCAGTTTTCTGGTGATTTTTAATATTTTTCTTCCCAAAGGACACACCAGTATAATGCTTCTAACTAATTTGTCTTTTAGGATTTCATTGTGACAGTGGTCTTCTCGTTCTTGTGGCTAGTGGGCTCATCTGCTTGGGCTAAAGGACTGTCGGATGTAAAGATTGCAACCGACCCCGACGAAGTGCTACTACTGATGTCTGCCTGCAAACAGCAGTCCAACAAGTGCTTGCCTGTTCGCAGCCCTGTTATGTCAAGCCTCAACACTTCGGTTGTAAGTGACTTTGATTACTACTTTCCACCTTTACCCTGTGGACGTGTTTTCATCTCTTTTAGTCATGAATTGACCCCAATCGGCTGGTGTAAACCAGTTAGCTGAAATGATTTAACTGGAAGTACAGTCTTGATGCGGGGAAAGGCAGAGCGTGACCCCAGGACAGCTCTCTGCTGTGGAGCGGCACCAGGATGAGTGTGCAGGGTTGGGATGGGGAGAAAGCAAAGTGTCTGTCCAAGTGCATTGGTTGGCCTGTCTGCTTTTAGCTTTCCCCAGCTGCCATGCTTTGGAAAAGGGGGTCTGTGTGCTCCTTTAGGAAGAAAAGGTTTTGTGCCTTGAAGATTCCTTTTAAAATTCTCAAAAAGAGCAACATAAAATTGGTCTTCAGAATGTTAACAAAAAATAGAAAACCGATAAAACAACCTCTCCAGCCCAGCTGACCAATGAATAGCTCTCTTAATTATTTTCTATCCATTTCATCTTTCCACAGTTTCTTTAGATTATGTTTCAAACAATAAAAAAAAAATATTTTGACCTAAAAGCTCAAGCTTTTTATGGAAACAAAAAGAAAAACAGACACATTGTGAGCTACAGCTAAGGAAGGGGAATTTGTGAATTTGCTCCAAAGCTGAGAACGTTTTCCAGCAGGTCTGGGGAGAAGGATGGACTGAGAGCAGCTTTGACTTCTCCCAGGGCTGTGCCGGGTCCATGACGCGCTAGGCTGGGCTGTGAGACCGTGGCTGCCAGGTAACGAGCTCCTCTTCTCCCCACCTAGGTCTTTGGCTTCTTGAACTTTATCCTCTGGGCAGGCAACATTTGGTTTGTGTTTAAGGAGACGGGCTGGCATTCCTCGGGCCAGCGGCACCCTCCGGACCCCATGGAGAAGCAGTCCAGCAGCTACAACCAAGGTGGCTACAACCAAGACAGCTACGGGCCGGCCGGTGGCTACAACCAGCCGGGCTCCTATGGCCAGGTGGGTGAATACGGCCAGTCCCAGAGCTACGGCCAGAGCGGGCCAACCTCCTTCGCTAATCAGATTTAGGGTTCACACAGCACGAGTTCTTGCATCCCTCACTTGTAGAGAGTTTAACAGGTCTCAAGTTTCAGTTGCACCAGGTTTTTAAGGGTTTTACATAAATTAATACTACAACGTGGTGTTTAATGTCGATTGAAGACTTAAGCTTACCTCCTGAGACAGACGGGAGGTGGCCGGTGGGCTGGAGGTGGCCTTTTTTTACCCTGAGTAGCTGGATACAGGGGACATGCTCATCGCAGGTGGTGACCTGGAGTCAGTGTTGTAGTATGTACTGTAGAGATAACTTTATGGTAGTTTTGTATGTGTTAAGATGGTAGAAGCCTTTTGTAGCCTCAAGTCTGTAGTATTTAATATGCATAATCTAATTGAATTTCCTTCTGCATTTTGGTGAGAAACGAAAGTGGTTTACTATTATTTCTACGGATTATTCTGTGTACCCATGCATGTAACATTGCACCCAAATTTTCAAGAAAACTGCCTGTCTGTGGCTCTTCAGAGCATTTGTTTTGGTTACACCTTTGCGTTTCAGAAGATTTTACTATTATTTCAGTTAACCGAGTCATCTGTAATTTAGTGCATGGATAAGCAGTTTCATACTACCAAATGTCTGGACTGTGTAAATGGAACTTCTCAACTTCTGCCACTGCATTTTGTTAAATGTACGTTTAAAAGGAGTATGCATCTTTTATATATTTTGCAGAGTTGAATATATGGCTTTCCCAAGTTCTGAATGCTTTGTAACTAAACTGGTTTTCCTTGAAATGGCATTCAGTAGTATATATGGTACCTGACCAATGTTTATTCCATTTAACTCAGCTAAGTATTCATTCTATAAATCACTATTTCTATGGATGTTTTGTGAATCTTTTAACGTGAGCCGTGGAAAATAAGGACCAAGTAACTGTGTTATATGTTTACAAAAGTATTTATTTAACTAAGATAACAGAGGTGCAGATATCAGTATACAAATCCATGTGAAAATGCCCTGTTGCTTAATATAGCAAATCACAAAACCCGCATGTATTGTTGTGACCTTACAAAGCATAAATATTCCTTTATACCTTCTTATGATAAAAAACCCTCACCTTTCCATCCGTGCTGTTTCATGATAGTTAGATCTCCCCCTGTTCTGTCGCTGCTCTGAGCGCTAGCTTGGTGCTACTGGAGAATGTAACTGGATTGACCAAATAACCCAGGCTCAGAGGAACTCACCCTAAAATAGCCAGAGCCAGACCTGTGTCCCGTTTGGATTTCTTCCCGGGAAGTTCAGCCCTTCCTCACTACAGCATATGGGACACATTGACACAAACGAAAGTCTGAAGCACAATATACTAAGTAAAACTGATCATCTGCATTTCTAAATCCAAGTGTATCAGTATATAATCTTATTGTATGAGCTGTAACGTTGGAAGCATCTTATCTTAAAACAGCTTAGTCTCTTCTATGATTGTTGTAACCAATTTATGGCTACTCGGTGGATGAATCTATATTGTGATATCTATTTGACCCTAATAAAGTTATTGCATACAATGCATGTTTTCAGAGTATGTTAATACTTATATGTCATTGCAAAATAACTAAGAAGACATCTATTAAATAACTATTCCTGTGCTTGACCTGATTGGTCATATTCTTACTGTTTTCCAACACTTTTACGAGGATTGTTTTAATGTACAGTGGAGTACAACACTTCCACAGACACTTGGCATTAAAGGTCAGTATCACAAGTTTAAAAAAAAAAAATTAAAACTGTGTCATTTAATACCTGCCTGCCTCTTTACCTCTCTTTTCATCTCTCAGTAGGAGTAGCCCAGGGCTGCGCTAACTATCCCAGTTCTGTGGATTGCTGGAAAGCCGTGTTTGAGTTGTAGAAAGAACAAGCTGGAACATCTAAATATTCTGGTATTCCAAATGGGAGCAAAATATGGTTTTCTGGGTCAATGAAAATTTTTATTTTGGCTTTTAGTTCTTTTGTTCCTTTGTTTTTCTCAGTTTGGAAAAGTTATCTAAGTTAGATATATGCAACCCAGGAAAAAGTGAAATCTCTCTCCACTAGAAATAGAATTTTTTGTGTCAACTAGTGTTCTCTTCATCAGCTTTTCCACCTAGATCAGCAGGGTCCCATTCCCAAACTCTTCTATCCAATGCTGAGGGTAAGAAACTTGGGTTTTGCTTGGGTTCATTCCTGCATTTCCTTGTGTAACCACGTGAGCACAGGAACCACAGCTTTCAAAAACCCTCAGGAGGTGACAACCCTGGAGAAAGGGCAGTTCCTAACACACGAACTGGGGACAGAATTAGGATGATGGCTTATTTTGGGTATTATTTACAGAACTCCAACTCTAAGCTGTTCTCATGAAGGGCAGAGCTGGTGGAAGAGTTGGCAAAAGCAGTGCAAGAGGCACAGGTTTTCATGAGAGACCCAGCCTGTTGGCCAGGCATTCACAGGTACGTTAGCTCCTTGCTGCCACGCAGAACAGTGAGCTGGTTGTCATCCTTTGGGGACTACAGTCTTCACTGTGAATTAGGAGGGATGGAAAATCCCTTCATCTATAGCTTCTCAGATTAATGTAGTATGGCAGCAGCAAAAGTGAAAACAAAAACGATGCACGTGCTTGTCTGTGTTACATAAGAAAATGTAGCCGAGCGTTTCCTCCGTGTTCCTCTGGATTCCAGTCTTATCACATCCTTTGGCAATCGCTGAGAAATTTGAACTGGGAATAGTGACTGTATAGCAAAGTGCTGAGCAGCGAGATGGGAAAGACTGTGTTTCATGTTTCCTGGGTTTAAGAGAAACAGCTAAGTAAACCCGTGCACCCTCTGTGAAACTGCTGCTGGCAGACTGATTGCTTTCCTACTTCATCATTAGTGAGCACAGTTAGTTAAATAACTAGGTCAGCCGGGGAAAAAACATGTTCCTTGATCTTCTCTGCTGTCCCTCCTGTTTTCCCATGTGTTTCTCTTTATAGCCCATTTCTCAGCTACCCGAGATGGGAGCGTATTCGCATTATCAAGTGTAGAGCTGTGGAGAGGCAGGTACCTCTGCCAGTGTGCCAGACCTGATTAGGTTGCTTATTTCCAATCTGTATGTGTTCAGTGTGAGTGAGCAAACAGGGCTCCAGCCCGGAATTACCCCCTGGCTGAGTCTCTGACGTGCTGATGAAAGAGGCAGTCGCACAGAACACCCATTGCACCCGTCTATGTTCTGCTCCTGACAGCACCTCCAGTTTCACTGTTAATAGCACAAACAGATGAAGAACTGCCGAGTAAAAACTGCCACGTGTTGTTTCATCCTTTTCTGAAAAGGTTCTTCTCATATTATGCCATGTCATAAATGTTTAGTCCTCTGCCTCCTAGTTTTAAGCCTGATTTTCATCAAAATCTTTATATATGTGTATGGATGGGGTACTTAGCTTACGCTCTCCCTGACTTCACTATTCTTTCTCAGGATTACTTTTTATTCCCTGCTGTTACTAAACCCAAGAGCTTTTCCTCCTGGAATTTTCTACCTGCAGCAATAATCTGTATTTTAGTATTAATATCTGGTGTTGATTCATCATTGATTGATGCCATACATCCTCAGTATGAAGATCTCAGTATTTTGATATGAAATTTTAATAGCTGGCTGGGGGGTGGGATGGAGCAAGAGGAAAACAGTATTAGGCTGTGGCAGCCAGTCCTGCTTTGGGCTAAGGTGGAGCGGGGGGCTTCTCCGTCTTGGCTCTTTGGAAAATAAAACAGGTGTCACGTGACCATATTCTGGTCTCAAAGAAATAAAGCTATTACCTCCCTGGGTGGAAGTTAGCAGCACTTCCCTGCAGCTGCCGAAGGGTTTGCTGAAGAAATGAAGCCGGAAGGGTGGGAATGCATCTCCAGTTCTGGGTATTGCCTTGGTCCCTCGGCTGTGCCCGCCGCGGGCATGCCCACGCCTGCCCTGCCCGGTGACCCAGGGCCATCTCTAAGGGAGCCCAGGCTCCACCACACACAGCTCTTCCGCAACGTTGAGTCTGCTTGCACTGCTGAAGGTGCTTAGAAAGGATGGGAAAACACCAAAAGCCAAGTGAAGAACATGGCTTTTCGCAGTGGCAATTATTTTAAGTGAGCCACCTGTGAAGATTTTGCAGCTTTAAGTTGCGGGTTGCGTATTTTGTGCATATAATATTGTTAAGGTGTGAAATGTGCTAAAAAAATGACCGCTAAAAGCACCTGGATATTTCAAACATAAACAGAGTGTATCGAAATAGATCCAGAGCAGATGGCCTGGCTCCCTGCACACCTTGCTGACCAGAAAACTCAAGCAACACGTGCAGCCAAAATCTTGCCAGCTTCAAAGCTGATCATCTGCAAAGGCAAAGGTTATCCCCATGCTACCCTAATTAGTACATCCTAGAGGGATAATGAACCCCAGGCTTGCTTGGACTTGTTACTACCCCAGCAAAGCACATCACCTGCTCTAGAGCTCAGGCTCTCAGAAGTTTAATCTAGAGATGAAAAAACCTGCGAGCTGAAGTCTGATCTATGGTGGAAAGTGCCCAAAACACAGGTCTGGGTTTGCCAGCCAGCTCACAGCGCTGTCTGTAGCTGATCAACATGTAACAGAGTCTCTCCCTCACTCCCGCTTCCTACCTTGGATGCTAAAACCAAACATTCCCATTCTGCGGATTAACTGGGATGTAAGGCTTTTCATGCCTCGTCGTATGGTTCAACAGATGTGAAAGGGAATTATCACTTCAACATGATATCAAGACTTTTTTTTTTTAGCTGATGGCAGATTACTAAGCCTGAATTCTTGTTTTATTTTAGCGTGTTAATTGATGGGATAATGAGCATTGATTATATGTGTTTTGGCTGCGTCATTGCAATTACAGGCTCTGTTTTATTCATGAGCCAGTCCTAAAGAACGCACTAGAGATCTAAGACAGCTTAAACCTCTCAGAAAAAGGCTCGGAATTGTTTGAGTAATGACACTCTTAGATGGAAAATTAAAGGTTCTCTTTTCCCATGCTTTTTAAGATAATTAAAATCCAGGAACAGTAAGGTGGTGAACATCCTTATTCATTAGCCTTCAGTAATTTAGCTTCTACTAAATGAGGAAAACATTTTAATTCTCTAGGCCATCTGTTGCAGTCTCCTTTGCGTGTCCTGTTACATAAAGTCTGTAATGACACTCTTAGATGGAAAATTAAAGGTTCTCTTTTCCCATGCTTTTTAAGATAATTAAAATCCAGGAACAGTAAGGTGGTGAACATCCTTATTCATTAGCCTTCAGTAATTTAGCTTCTACTAAATGAGGAAAACATTTTAATTCTCTAGGCCATCTGTTGCAGTCTCCTTTGCGTGTCCTGTTACATAAAGTCTCATCCTGGGTAGTTTGAGCTTTTTTTTTGAATGATGAGCTGGATGAGGTAGTTGAAGTCACTACCTATTAACAGACCACCCTTGGGATTAAAACGGCTGCTTGGTCGTTTAGGTCAAAGCTATCCTGTCTTGACACCTCACAGCAAGGATCCGCAGGAAGGAGACTGTGCACAGGGCTAGGCAGCGTGACAAGCTGTGTGTTTTCTAATAGCGATATCCATGCCAATGCATAACAAAGTTCATCGGAGCCCTTCCAGTTCCTCTAACGTGCGACTGCTCTGCCATATGGCTCCGTGCTGCTTTTGGAAACAGGCGGCATCCATGCGGGTAGAAGGCGAAGCAGAGGCTCCGTGGTGGATGCTTTGCACCTTTGGAGGAAGAGCAGATCTCCTCTTTGCGCTGCGCCAGGGGAATAAATGTTAGAGCAGGAGCGCACTCACCTAGGATAAATGCAGGAATTGGGAAGTACTTGGTTTCTGACTCTCTCTATAGGAACAACTCAGTTTAGAGCTTGGGGCAAGTTACGTTAGCCCATGCTAGAAAGGTTTCCCATTAAAATGATAATGTGTATAGCTGAATGGATTCAGCTAGTTATTCCTGATGCAAAGTTACATCCCTACAGATCTAAGAGGATTCAGGCTCCATTAGTCTGGTTTGTTTCTGTCAAATTCTCACATAAAATTAAAGCCACGCTGATTGCCAACCCAGCAGTGCTGCCTTACAGGGGCTGCTCTCGCCCTCTGTGTGTAGCCAGCTCTGTGATCACCAGGTAACGTTTACATTATTGACAGGGCATGGCTGCAAGCAGCTGCTTTCACAGGGCAGAGCTTGAATTCACCTGTTTGCTATTACTTGAGTTGCTTAGAGATCACAAACACCCCAGCCTGGAGATGTGTGGCTGCAGGACCAGCGTTCCCAGCACAAAACAGTACTCGGTCAATCAGCCAGCTCCCGATTCCACCAAGAAAAGCCCTTTGGCTGCAGCAGAGATGCCCAGGCGGTAAGTCATCACGTCGTTCTTTGCATCCCTGGTGATCTGCTATTTGTCTTGAAACTCATTACCTGGATGGATTTGTCTCTATCACAAGCAATCTCCTCCGCTGTGTGTTGGCTGCTCTGTAATTAGTTTCCAGCACTTTAGCAAAAGTAATCAGGCTTTAAGTTTTAATAGAAAGCAGAGAGGTGCTTCTCACAGATGTGAGTTGTGCTGGAATGAAAAGCTATGTGTCTGCTCCAAACTGGGAGCACTGGTGCGTGGGGGGTGACAGACCCCTTTGTACTTCCCAGGGTATGGGCTTAAAACTGAGAAGCTTCCTGGAGCTTTTTCATCTTCTGAGGAAACAACTTGAAGGACGTTGCAATGCTTCTCTCTTAAAATCATTTAATAAGCACCTTTAATAACAGCTCCTTGCTTAGGTGAAGAATTAGGAGTTGTGTGATGTTGTGTGCTGCTCGTAAAGGCCGTTTTCCTTTCCACTGTGAAGGAAAGCCAGTCTCCTTTGGGAAGCCCTGAGTTCCTGAGGGATTAAATGTAACAGAAATGAGCAAGCCTACTCATGGAGAAACTATATATACACACACGACTCTCCAGGTGGTAACTGTGCCTCTCTTCTCTCTCACTACCAGCACACCTATAGCCAAGCAGCTGGCATCAGTAAAAGGTAAGGGGACCCCCTCGTTGCCCCTTGGGGATTCAGGTCATCCAAAACCACATCCCAAGTGCAGTAAATCCTGATGAGCTGCAGAAGACTGTGCAGACCCTCAGCTGGTGCAAGAGGAGAGGGTGTCCTGGGTCCCTGTGCAACGTGCTCCTGCAGTGATCCATGTTTCCTCTTCTGCTCACCTTTCCCTTACAAATCACAGTCCAAATGATCTGTGGTACCGATGGTAACTGAGGGCTGCAAGTGTGCCGTCTTCAGGATGTGGCTCAGGAGCTGGGGCGGGGGATTGAAACCAGCCAAATATTCCAGCCAGAATCCCAAGTATACTGTAATGCCAAATGCTCAGACACGGGCACTTCTGTTCAGCCAGGCTTCCCAGATGGGCCACGTTTCCCCTGATAAAGGATCCTGGAAGCCCAAAAGCATCCTGAAGATGTCCAGTGGTGCCTGTCCCCGTGGTGTGGCAGGTCCTTGCTGGGTACCCATGATGGGGACAGACCAGATGGGTCTTGCACATCACCTTGTGTTGCTGCTGCTGCTGCCCCGGCTCTGACTGAAAACTCCCTTCTGGGGTGTGTTTCCACAGGACATGAGGCATCTTGCTGGCCCACTCCAAATAAAATCTGGGTCAGGTCCTCTGTGGATATAAACAGTCTCAGTCTCATTAACTTTAATGAAACTACACAGATTTCCACCCACTCAGGATGGTTCTGACAGATTCCTTTCAATTATATCTCAAATGCCACTTTTTCTGATAGGCTGGTAACTTTTTTTTAATTTTTATTTATTCCCCCTAGCTCTAGGCAAAGGCTCAGACCTTGAAAAAGCTTTTGCTACTGTGGCTTTGGTGTATAACAACGCTGCTGACGCCGAGGGCAAGCTCAGCAAAACTGAAACCAAAAGCCTGCTGCAAACCCAGTTTGGGGGTTTCATACAGGTGAGGGGGGTTTGGGCCGGCACCTGCTGGGTGATTTGGGTGCAGGAGTGGTACCTTGGGCTCTGTCCTGCAGCCGTGGGGGCATCAGTCCACGGGGTAATCCCAGGGGTTAATCCTCTGTGAGACTTCAGGGATTTGGTACAAATACCTTCAGTGAATTAGTTGCTTTATGTGGAGCCTGTGTCTAACACAGGGCTAAAAGGGGGGGGCAGCAATAAACTGCTGTTGATGTGCCTGCTTGCATTTTTGTAATGAAGCAGAATTGTAGACTCACTGAAGGGTTTGGGTTAGAAGGGACCTTAAAGACCATCCAGTTCCAACCCCCTGCCATGGGCAGGGACACCCTCCGCTAAGTCAGGTTGCTGGTCTAGGGCACAAAATAAACCACACCAAACAAAAAACACCCCGATAAGAGACAGGATTGATGAAGAGAAGAAACCCATTGCATTCAGTCAGGTGTTTGGTAGTTTGCCAGAGCGCTGGCCCAGCACCAGGAGTGCACATGCTGCGGTGGGGCAGCTGGAGACCCGGAGGGGTGAGCACCCCTCCATCCATTACCCACCCTGGGCGCTGGTGGCAGCTGGGCATGGGCATGGATCAGCATTTGTGGCTGTAAACTTCTTGAAGATTGTTTTCCAGCAGTTCCCAGCTATGTTCACCTCTGCCAGATTTTTCAGTCATCACTAGGTTTTCTTTTTTAAAAGATGTGTTCTGAATTCAGGTGGAAACTTTGGGGACTGGTTGTTTTCCTGTCTGACTGCACTCAGATTCTGTTTGAGTTTCTTGGGGCAACTTTAGAAAAACTAACATAATTGTGGACGTAAAAACCTGAATGAGAAGATGGAAAATACATGAATTTTGACATAGGTGTCTTTTTTATGATGTAATAAAAAAGGAACTTCATGCCTAATTTTTTTTTAATTTAAAATTCTCCCTAGGGCCAAGAAAACAAACCAAAATACCAGGAAATCATTTCTGCCCTGGATGAGGAGTCAGAAAACAAAATTGATTTTGAAGATTTCATGGTCTTGTTAGTGAGTCTGACTCTAATGTCTGACCTGCTGCAGGAGATCAGAAATGCGAAAACCACAAAGTGATCAGTGCCTTGAAAGAAGCAGCAGCTTGGCACTTTATAAGGAAAGCAGGACTGAACCACACAGAGATAACATCGAATGGATACCCTGTTCGGTTTTAAATGAAATAAAGTCTTGTCTAAACCTGGCTGGACTCACACCTGCATAGGAACAGTCTGTGGACTGTTGAGCTGGTGCTCAGGGCCTCGTGTCTACGTTTGTGCATCAGGAAGGTTCTCTCTGGACCAGCTTCCAGCACGTCCCGAGGTCCCAAACCCAGTTACCAGCTGGGTGCAGCCCTCAGCCCAGCTCTGTGCCGGGGGAAGTCAGCCCACGCGCTCCTGGGCCCCTGTTGTGAGGGACGATGGGGAGAACACTACAAGAGGGTGCAGCCCCAGGTACCTTGGGGCAGCAGCATGCGTGGCATGGCCAGCCAGCTCCCCAGCCTCTCCCAGTCAGCCCAGGGCGCTCCAGCCCTGAGCACATCCCGGGGACGAGTTTCACCACTGGTAGCACAAAACCTGTTGCAGCCTTTGGTAAACATTGACTTTAGTCTGTGTGGTTTCCAACCCACCCTTAACCCTTCCGAAAGGAGCATTTATTTGTTTTTATTTCCTCCTCCAGCTGACCTCCTCACTGAGTGATCGCTATGGAAGGGATTTCAAGTCCAGTGCTGGCAGTGCTGTGCTCTTGTGACCGAAGGGATGACTTAGTTGAACACGTTGGTCAGCTGGGTCTGTTGTTTCAGGAAACTGTGATGAAGAGAAAGCAGATAAGCTAAGACGTGGTCCAGAGTAGGGATGGTGGGGAAAAGGGGTGGCCAATAAAATGTTTGTATTGGAGCTGAGTGATATTGGCTACCCAGCCATGGGCTGGGCTGGGGACAGAGCCTCAGTATTAAGTGCTCATGATTCTAATCTTCATTTTGAGTCCTTCTTATAAAGTCCTGGCTCAGAGCCAACGTTTAGCCCACTGTGACATCCTTTTGGGGCACAAAAAGCAGCCTGACACCCCAAGAACAGAATATCTTCTTTAAGAATTTAACAAGCCTCTACCAGAACTGTTAAGATGAATGAGCCAGCAAAGCATTGCAACCCTTTTCATTTTCTCTTCTCCCTTCCATGGAAAGGAGAAGACAAGAATAATTTCGCTTTGGTGCATATTTATTTAAACAGGAAGGGATCAAACCCTTTGGTGTTGAAAGAGGGAAATAAATGCCAGCTGAGTAACGAGATTTAACTGCTTGACATAAAAAGGTTCTTAGTGTTTCCAGAAGCTAAGAGGATGTTTTGTAATGGATTTTGGTGCAAAGGAGAGACACGTTGCAGTAGGAGGCCGGCAGCCAGTTGTTCAGAGAGGGAAGGTCTGTCTTTGTGCAGTTTGGGATGGGGCCGAAGGAAGAAATGGAGCTGGACGCGGTGGGTTTTGAAATGCAGCTCAGCAGGTAAGGTGCTGCTCTGCAGGGTTTCAACCAGGACGTGGCCCGGAGGCCAAATGCTTGCAAATGGTCCACAAATGGAAACTCGTGTTAGCCAAGTCCCTTTCTCTGACGGTGGGCTGCACGGACAGGGAGTGCCAAACCTGGGGCAAGAAGTGGCAAAACCATCAAGAAGGAGTTTCTGTCCATTTGCTCACTCATGGAGGTGTCCCCCGCACGCACACCTCCCGCTGAGGGAGCAGTGGCCCCATGCTGCGAGGATGACTGTCCCCATGGGCTGCATGTCACATCTCTCAGAGATGGTGTAAAAATGGAGATGGATCAAAATAAGGACTTCATCTGGTCGTGTCATCCATGTAGGTATCACAGCTTCATATTGATAATGTGTCCCTAGTGTCGCTCAGCCTCTTCCCCCATCCCCTTGGGTTTTGGCCAGGTAGAAGATCTGTGACAGTTTAAAAAATCAGCTGATGTTCCTTTTCGGGGGCAGAAAGATGGATTGTATGTGAGAGTCCCTAGAAGGCTTTTCCCATTACTAAAGTAAAGAAAACACTGCACAGCCCTGTAAAGCTTGTTTGGGAGCCACTGGTGACTTTGAAAGCATAAATTTCTGAATATCCCTCTGTTACAACAAAAAGCCAAAAGGAACAATATTGTGAAGCCAATTCAGAAAGGAATTCTTTGAAATTGCTACAGCCCTAACACAGTTTCTGTTATTGCTGAAATGTTTCTTAATCTTGCATGACTTGAATTAATGACTTAAGAGCCTTTTATCAAATCAATTCACTCTGTCATCTTACCGTACACAAACTCCTTTTATTGTAATGCACCGTGTTGTGTGCTAGCATCCCGAGTCCCCGGCTTCCATCCAAAGCCCCTTGTGCGAAGCACAGTGAAAATCCAGAGTAAGAAGCAATTTCTGAACAACTCAACAGCAGAGTCATTCAAATGTCAGGGAAGGAATCAGCAGTGCAGAGAAACCAGGGGCCTTGCTCAGCATGCGTAGCAGAGCTGGAACCAGATGCCAGCCTAGGCCGAGCTTCTCGCAGAGAAGACTGTGGCTTTCCAAGAGGCACCGTGATGATTTCTGAACAAAGTGAATGGAATGTGCAAGACCTGATCTGCATTAGCCCTTGAAAGTCCTGCCTGATGCTCAAAAAGCAGAAGGACACACTTGGAAGAGCCCCAGCATCATACAGTTAGGAGTAGGCAGAAGTTTGCAGCTCGGCTGTGGATGCTCTTTTATTAGCTCAGACTATTTGTGGCTGCCCTGAGCACTCTCAGCTAACGGCTTTGAAGCTGATCTGGCGTAGACAGCATGTCTGACTGCATCCTTGGGGAGCTGGCTAAGAGCTTGCTTTAAAGGCGACTGTTGTGCTTTATTTTGTTCCTAGCTTGCTCCTATTGGAAGTGATGGGAGTTCATCATTGATTTCTCATAGCAGAGCCCACGCAGGTGCTAAGGAGTGGATCAGGCAGCTAAATTGATGAAAGATGCAGGCTCCTCTGCCTCGGCAAGCGTGGACATCATATCAGTATCTGATACCCTCCCTGGGTGTGAAGGCAACATGAAGAGCGGCTAGTCATAACCTGACCTCTGTGGGCTTGGGGTTGGGACTTGTGGAGCTACACTGTCTGGGTGTGAACAGTCACCCTGGGAGGCTTTGCAGACTTTGGATCTAAGTTTAAAGTTCTGTTCTGAAAAGTCTGAGTCATTTCTGCAGTTACATGAGCTTTCAAATGCTGCCAGAGGAGAAATGGGGGTCAGGGAGAGCTTCAACCTCAGATTTTCAGCTTCCATTTCCAAACATCAGCTCAGGAAGGCAGGTTCATTCTCATACTTCAATTAACACATCTACAACTTCTCCCCATGACGTCTCACTTCACATCTGGTCTACTGGACTTGGAAGGTTTTGAAAATCCACCTGACCTCTAAGGTGCTCTCTCAGATGGCAGGGGAGCTCTCGCATCCAGCCGCTGCCTTTCAGGGCCCAAGTCTCGGCAGAGTTTTGCATGTTGATCTTTCTGCCGGGAGCTTAGCACCACATGCACCATGTGAGCAACTCTGCATAAATCTTTCAGGAAAAAGAAATACACTCCCCAACTCTCTCTATCATTGCACCTTCGGTAAGACCTCCTGTCTGGGCACCGGAGCCTGGATGGGGAGGGCATCTTGTACTCTGGGATGTTTTGCCAGTCTCTTCCTCCCTCAGATTAAGTGTTGTGTTATTTTTTCACTTGCCTTGGTTGCACACACGTTGCAAGTGTGTGTGTGATGCACACCCCTGCCTTGGTATGTGTCGTGGCCCACGAAAGCTGCTCAGCAGCTGCTTGCTACGTCCACCCAAGTGGCTACTGCAGCAGGTCACTTTGCAGAGAGCGGTAGAGGTTTGCATCATAGCCTGCCAAGGTAGCGGTTAAATTGTGGCTACATGGGAGGAAAACCTTCTTCTGGAATATTGGAATGACTCAGAAAGATACTATGTGGTGCATCCCCTTAGGAGCTCACTACGGAGCAGATGGAAAGCTTTGTCCCAGAATTATCTTCTCTCCAAAGTGCGATGGTTTGTGAGCCACAGAGGAGCACTCTGGAAAAAGAAAACCTCTTTGTTTCAGGGAAGATAGATAAAGAAGACATGGTGTTTTTATGGCTTTCTGAACTGACAGCTTTTAATTCCTGCATTGACTTTTACTGCAGTCGGTGCTTTACAAGGTTTCCGGGGAAGCTGTGTCTCCTCACTTTGTTCATCTGCCGTTCCCTCACCCTGCAAGTCTTTGTAGCCCTAGTTCTGAGTCCTCCTTCACCAAAGGTAAACAGCAGATGATGTTCAGCAGCCAGATATATCAGGCTGTCTCTCTGATCCCCAACCACACAAAACAGCCATCAGACTTAGATGCAGAGCCACGGGACTTGTCTTTTACTAATTGTTACTGTAGGAGTGAGTTTATGCTATGAGACAGTCAGTCCCAGCATCCAGCACGTACAGAGGAGCTGAAATCGTGATCCCCCAAACATAAAGAAACTCATTGGATTGGCCCAAGCCCGGGTGTCTGTAGCAGAGGCTGGTTGAGCATATCTGGTGTAGTGCCTCGACCATCGCTCCTCTCATTCACAGGTCCCAAAAAGGACAGCTTGGAAAGGATGTCCTGCACAGAGCATCCCAGGTGGTGCTTGGTTGATTGGCTCCTCGCGCCATGGCAGCACGAGCTGCAGCCCCTGGCACGGGTTGGTGACATCTTCACACTTCTGCCACCCGCGGTGCAACCCCTGGAGCCAAGGGACCTGTTTCCATTTGTGATTTCCTTTTTGTTTTATTGCCCTCGCCATGATCCAGCTTTCTCAGATGCCATCAGCTGGGTCTCGATGGCTGGAGAGACACAAACCATGGCACGTGCTCCTGTGAAGCTGCTGCTGAAATCAGTGAGGAGGTCAGTGCCTCTCACGTGGAGGGCAGCAGCTTACGTGGACATGTTTCTAACCCTCCGGTAAAACAGGCAGCCTAAACGGATGCAGAAGTTCATCAGTGGGCAAAGTGATGCCCCTGCTTGTCCTGGGATGACCAATAAATGACATGATAATCAATAAA